CGGTATCTGTAAGCATCTTTGTATAAGAACATGGGGACGATATTAATGACGTAGCGAAGAGAAGTTATTGCTATGTGGCAGTAAATTCTGCCTGGCACTGTTATGTTTCGTTGTTGTTCTGGAAAATGTAAGTTGTTTCAAAGAGAAGTTTATGTTCTGTGACTAATTATCGAACCAAAACTACAACCATCCCGAAGCTTTCAAGTACTATAGTAATGCTATCCCTGTATGTTTTCGTACTTTCATTGAACAACATCGAAATACACTGGTGAAATAAATTAAGAGAATTTGCATATTTTATCGAATTGCAGGAAAGAACTGAACGGAAGCAAAAACCACTACCTCTAGATAAAAATGCAAATCTTGTACTGCAAATACGTAAACGTACACATGTGTGTAGGCGGAGCCAGCGGAAAAACAGGCGTTATATCCGTTGACATAGGCTCTGTGACTGGTGTTAGGTACAGGGATGAGGTCTTGTAGCCCTTTGTTAGCCTTTTCCGGGCTACGGTGAGCCCCGAGTTCATCTTATAGGACGATAACGCGAGGCCACATAGAGGTCTTTTGGCCGACGAATTTCTCGAGAGTGAGGATATTCCCCCGAATGAAGTGGCCAGCCAGGCCTTCAGACCCCAACTCTATAGAGCATGTCTGGGATGCTATGGGAGGGCAATTTCAACTCACAACACCCATCCGAGAACAGAAAACAGCGTTGCTGAATGAGTGGGACCAATTGCCACAGGACTGATGCAAGGTGGAGTGTGCAACGCCATTTATCATGTGCCATGTATCGTGTAAATTAAAAACTGTATTTACACGATAAAATTAATAAAAATATAACGTAAATTAAAAACTTAAATTTGTAATGTCATACAAACTACATGTATATATAACTATCGGCATGATGTGCTACGAGCAGCTCACAAACTAAAACTGTAAATATTGCAAATGAACTGAGTCAGTAATGAAGCATTATACGCACTGAGGTCAGTAATCGCGCATATAACTATGATCTTTGTAGCGCGTAAAACTGCGCGTAAACTGCCTTCAACAGAACAGCAACGTGTCAATACTGGCAAATTACGCAATACGGGACAGTTAATGTAACTACGCGTACTAATACACCATCACATCCATATAGCGCAACCTATTCTAATTACATTCGCGAAATGTAAAGTAATGGAGAAATGCACAGATGCAAAATTCTGCAGTAATATGCCGAAACTGTAAATGCAAAAGTAATCCATGTATATTAGGAATGCCTAATGTAATCCATTATATGTTTTTGTACATGGTAAAATATATTAATGTAATGATTAAGCAATGTATTATAAAGTGTAAAAGAACTTCGGTAACAGAATGGCATTGTAAAGCTTACCGGTTTAAGTATAAGGAGTAATGTAATATGCACATTTCGTATAAGTTAGTCAGTATAATTTATCCTGCAATAATGTTTCACCTGTGCATAACAAATTTTCCTGCGTATAACCCGCTTAACACGCATCATATATATATAGTATATACCCTCCTTCTGTGCATAATGTTTTTTCCTATGTATCACTAATTTCCCTGTGTATAATTTAATGCGCATCCTGTGTTGAATGCGCAGCCAGTGCAAAACAACATTATTACTCGTACAATCTGATGATAATGTATCTAATGATAATGTATCTGTTACCAGTATACGGTATATTAAGGAAAGAAAATTAATGTAATAAGTATTGGGAAGTTAATGTAATGTTAAGGTAAGGCGTTATTTTGTCTTGTCAATATGATGTGTAGAATATAATGTAATGTGTAAACCATGTATCGTAATATAAAATATGTAGTGTAGTATGTACTGATAAACTATCTTGTTAATTTGATATGTAGTACATTATCTAATACGTAAGCCAAGTATCGTAATATGTAATGTAATCGTAATAGTGTCATATGTATCATAATAAATAATGTAATATGTATGTAATCGTAATAGTGTTCATATGTATCATAATATATAATTAATATGTAATGTAATCGTAATAGTGTCATATGTATCATAATATATAATGTAATATGTAATGTAATTCGTAATAGTGTCATATGTATCATAATATATAATGTAATATGTAATGCAATCGTATTAGTGTCATATGTATCATAATAAATAATGTAATATGTAATGTAGTCGTAATAGTGTTATATGTATCATAATATATAATGTAATATGTAATGAAATCGTAATAGGGTTATATGTATCATAATATGCAATGTAATATGTAATGTAGTATGTACTGATTAATGAGCAACATGACACAGAATGCAAAGCCCAACTGAAGAAATGTGAATACAAACTTTATAATAGTATTATGCATAACGATGTAGGCAGTGTATCGAGAAGCCTATCATGTGAATAAGTTATCCTGTATAATGCAATACCTGTGTATAACTAATTTCATGTGAATAATCTAACCCGTATCGTGCTTATAACCCCCTATTGCGTATAATGTTCCTATGTATCATTAATTTCCCCGTATATAATGTAATGGTGTACCCAGTGTATAATGATAATATAATGCGTATCCTGTGTCTAATGCGAATCCTGTGCAAAATAACCCTTTTATAATGTACCAATATAGGGTTTATTAGAAAAGAATTTGAATGTAATAAGCTGATGTGAAGTTAATGTAATGTTAGGATAAGGTATTAATTTGATATGTAGTATATAATGTAATGTGTAAATCATGTATCGTAATATATAATGTAATATGAAATGTAAGATAAAGGTGGACGTGGTGCTGTACTGATTAATCCAAATGGTAAAGGGACAGTGCCCACGTCCTCCGTCGCTTATCGCTTATTTCCAGTATGACATCACGCTGCGAGGCTGTATGGCTGTAAGAGGGGACTATACCCCCTATTAATCCATTTCTTTTGTGTCTTCTGCAACCCTCCCATGTTACACACAAACATGTGTGTGTCTATTATAACTATTAAATGTTTATTTTGTTTGTATTGTATCAACCTATGTTCACACCAAATTTTATTAAAATCTCTCCAGTAGTTCTGCGGATCGTAGATCAAATATGAAAATTCTTTTAATTTATTTCAGCAGTGTATATAAAACGAATTACTTTATAATTCCTTAGGATTAGCAGAAGCTTAGAACTGTAATAAGTCGGAACATGCATAATAGAAACGAGCATGTAGAGTTTACGTTTAATTTCTAACAAGTTATTTTATATTAATCGTCTTTCTCATCTCTCTCATTTCCATTTTCCTGTCAGAATGTAAATTTCTAGCTCGCATGATATGCAAATGAGGTAGAAACAAGAGAATATTTTAAGGAAGGTTTTAGAAGGTAAAATTAGAGCGTGTTCTGTCTGCCTGAAGGCCACGTTGCTAATTCGATTTCTTTGCGAGTAGAATGCTGCAGCATTGCGTTACTCTCATAATTACGGTTGCTACGTCGACCTTAGATTACAGCCAGATTGCGCGTTTCTCTAACTGTGCAGCCGTTAGGCTAACTTACTTGCCTCAGTTTTAGTTCATCCATTGTCTCTGATTTAAGCCATAATTCTTGGCTTCCAAAGAACGAGTGGTGCCTTCGGTTAATTTTAATTTGAGCTAAATAAAAGTGCCCTTTACGCCCTTTCTCTGTGTCTGTGGTACCTACCAGATAAAGCGAAAGTTCGCTTGTAGTCTTCAGAGTTCCCACACATTTGACGTGACCTAAGAGTACGAGACTCTGCAAATAAACAAAAAAGAATTCGAAAATTAAATCAATGTGTTAAATGTCTTCAAATATCTCTTCAAGGGTATTGACGTCACGAGATAACATAATCGGACAGAAAAGTTTCTGAGCTACGCAATCAATAGTGCAATAAAACCAAGAGCGCTTTTAAAATCGTATAATTACAGCAAAATTTAGTAGTTATATTGTTCATAAATATAGTTCAACCTTTGCTTGACTAAAAAAGTATGATTCTATTCGAACCAAAACAATAAAGCACAACGGCCAAGTAGATACCTTAAGTCCAGTTGTAAGAGCTAAATAAATTTAAAAAAAAATTACCCATTGAGCTATGTCAAAAGGAGAAAATATAATTCGATAAATAATGTATAATAGAAAAAACTGGATTCAAATATTTAGATTTAACTTAAATTGGAAAAAGTGTGGAAAGAACTAGAAATAATCCAGATTTCTAGCAACTGTAATAAACTTAAAAAAATATTAAACAAAGTACAATATAAAAGTTAGCTTTAATAATTGATTTTTTTGTCTTTATTAAACTGTTCATTGCATTATTTAGATCCCAATCCCCTGAAGAGGTATTACGATATATGTAACACTTCAATTTAACTTCTGAAGTCTTTTTATTTATAATTTTATATTATTAATATTTTTTACTTATTTCTTTACAGTATTAATTCTTGATGTTACAAAAGGGTACAAAGTTACTTATTGTATTTATATTTTAAATACGCAATCCAACCGGGAGAGTGGTTAGTGACACCGACTGCCTTACCGAAGGCCCCGGGTTCGAATCTCGCAGAAGGCAAGTATGTCTGTAAATGTAAAGCTTCCGTTCGGCATGGAGACACTCTGCGAGCTGAAAGTCCTGAGAAGTTTATAGTAGGGGAAGAGGATTGGGAGACCCTCCGATCCGTCTTCCCCACCGGGATACATTAAAAAAATTAAAATAGGGTTCAGAACAGAGCAAAGTCGTACTGTTACCTATATGGTGCTCAATTAATTATTGCCAATAAATTAACCTATGCCACACTCTTCTTATGTAACGATAATGACGCAGGCTCATACATACGCAATAATAATTTCAGATTTGGGATTCGAATATTTTAACAGCCAATATCGCAATATTTTATTAGCCAGTAGGAAAATGTCGGAAGAATGACTCAAACAACTCTTCTCCAAATTTTCATTGTAGATAACTCATATTCGCTCTTAATTTATTTACTTGTCGCTTGCTGGTTCAAACATATTTAAAAATCTTTTACAGTATCGATGCAATTCTTGGATGCAATGGAAGAAACTACGGTAAAATTTCTGCAAAAATACAGAATTTTGCTGAAAATTTTTCTGAAGGGAACAAAGAGGAAATGCGTTTTCAGACAGCCGCTGTTGCCGAAGATTGCACAAAGCCGAGTATCCACAATTCTCTGATATTTTTTAAGTGAAAACAGATCGGTGTGTACTTCGAAGAAGAATAACGAATATATATAAAGATTCGAAGAAGAATGTAAGTATTCTATTTTTTAATGTATGTATTTTAAATTGCTAAAGTATGTTTTTTTTCCTATGTTGATATTGTTCACCAAACTTACTATAAATATCGATAATTTGAGAATCTTTCTAAAACCGAGGGCGCGAAAACCAACAACTTGCACATGCTAAATAACTTTTGCATTTCCATCCGTAAAAATTCGCCAAATTGCGCCAGGTTGGTTGTGGTAGTTTGTAAATACCAATTATTGTAATTACTTTGATTCACATTTAAGTTTATTTTTAGCAAAGAAATTTTAGGAGAAGTATGATGTAGATTATTAAAGGAATGACGCTTTTTATACGACTGCCCCCCAAAAGTATTTTGAATTTATAAATGCATTAAATTATCCATATTATTCTATTTAGAGATCGGAATACATATATATTTACACGTGTGCGAAAATGCATAATATACATACATACATATTTACATATGGAATCAAAGATTAAAGTTCAATATTTAAAATGAAATGGAGTTATCCATTGATGGAAGATTAAACATTGAATGAAGTTTGGTAATATGTTGTATAAATTTCGTCAAAACCAAACAAATACCATATTATCTTAAAAATATATGTGTAGGTTTTGCATATTGATTGCCTAATGTCTTAATAGAGCAATATGATATTCAATTACTAGCTTAGTTCAAGTTAAGCTCCAATTTATTAGTTAATAATGATTTTGTACTGCTACAAGATATACACATAGTAACTGGAAGCAAGACCTGTGCAGATAGAATATAACTTATTGCTGAAAGTCACTTTTTAATCTTCTTTTAGGATAAATATGAATTACACATTTATTTACTAACCTTTTGATGTTATAAAATATTTCTCGAAAAAGCAATGCAGCATTTAGCATGAATCCCTTCTTAAATTAATTCAGAGCTGCATAGGAGGCGATACATATAGGAAGATACTTTGTTTAACACATTTGGCATCGTTAATTATTTTCCTATTCACATACTTTGCATAGATAAATTAATTCATCAATCATAGCGGTAAAAGACAATTATGGAGGGGGAGGTATAGGAGAATTGAAACTAATTACAGAGAGGGAAACTAATTAAAAATTAATTAAGCGATACAGAGACAGCAAAGAAGTATAAATTAGGAACATTCTAAATCTAAATGAATTATTGAATTAAAATGTGGAAAATCGGGACCATACGAACTCACAGAAAGTGCAGTCATAAGATGCCCACAAGAAATAAAATAAATTAATGAATGGAAATTGTAATTTATAATACCGGTCTTATCAAAATGTGGCTAAAAGTAAAAACCAATATAAATGACAATTAATGAATATTAAAACTTAGTTTCTTCTGACATTTAATTTTCCGAATTCTATGAGTATATTGATTTCTGCTATTTCTGAAAATAAACTTACATTAATATATCTTGCCAGAAATTCTTGAAATAGAACTGTTTTGACCTAGGAAAATTATTTTAAGCATTTACATATTATCATGATTTCACAAATAATAACTACTAATTCAGAAGTCAAACAACAAAAATCAGCGTTATATTTACAAAATTTTCACAGGACTAGTTTCGATGGTTTTACCGAACCACCATCTTCAGCTGCAAAACCGCAAATGAACAAGATAGGAAATAATGATTAGATAAGATAAGAAAGCCTGGACAAGAATATACAACCTGTAAACCCTCGATTCCAAAGATTTTGGCTCCTATCGAAAAAGCTTTCAAGTTCAGTAAAGTTTCAGATTCACAGAAAGAAATGATTAGGCATCTTATCGCTCATAATGTGAAATTGAATAATAAACCTTTGAAACCAAATCTAACTGCGAGAGAAAGAGCTACATTGCGTGAAATTCATTCTAACCCGGATATTATTTCAAAGGCCGACAAAGGTGGCCAGATAGTCGTCATGGATAGGAACACTTACATCGATGGTGTCACTAAACTCTTAAACGAAGGACCATATAATCCGATCCCTAAAGATCCTTCACCTTCGGATTTGTCAAAAATAAAAACTGCGATCAAATCTTCGCAAATCATTTCAAGCAACTTAAAACATTCGCTTATCCCATCTGTTTGCGAATTGTGCCAGATTATATGCTCTTCCCAAAATTCATAAAAGTGGTATTCCTTTTCCGCCCTATTGTATCAAATTTAGGTACTGCCTCGTATCCATTAGCTAAATATTTAGTTTCTAGATTTTCAACTCTATTAGACAATAACATTTACACCATAAAAAATTCAATAGAGTTTGTAAAAAAGGTTAAAAACATTTCTCCTAGTAATTTACTCATGGTTTCTTTTGATGTAAAATCATTATTCACCAATGTCCCAGTGGAGGGTGCATTAAGATGTCTAGAAACCAGACTTCGCGAATTTCATTTCTCTTGCATCGAAATTGATGAGCTAATTTCTCTCACTCAACTCTGTTTGAAACAAACACATTTTGTTTTCCAAAATAAATATTACAAGCAAACTGAGGGATTAGCCATGGGAAGCCCCCTCAGTCCCATCCTGGCTGATATCTACATGCATTATTATGAATCAAAATTGTTTGAAACTTTAAACTTCCCGGCATGGTTCCGCTACGTAGACGATACTTTTACCCTGTTTGAAGGTAATAAAGATGATTTAAATAAGGTTCTTTCAACAATGAATTCTATTGATCCTGCTATTCAGTTCACTTTTGAACTTGAGACTTGCAATTCTCTTCCGTTTCTCGACATTCTGGTCACACGTAACACATCCAACTTCAGTACTACGGTTTACCGTAAACCTTCATCGGTTTGCCTTCCACCACACTTTAAATCATGTCATCCGACTAAACAAAAGTTAGCTTCATTTTATTCCTATGTTTTCCGTGCTCTTCAAGTTTGCTCCTCCAAACTAGCCCTTGATGAAGAACTAAATTATTTAAAAGCAATAGCTATTGACAGGGGCTTTTCACCCAACATTATTAATCAAGCAGTTAAAAATTCTCATCTCAACACACTAAAAGGCACACTCTTGTTTTAGGAGATTATAAAAATTCTGTTGTCATTCCCTTCTTTCCATCAATTAGCTATAAAGTTGCACATATTTTGCAGAAATTTTAACTTTCGGGTTGTTTATTCTCCTATCACTAAAATTCCGAGTTCCATACTCAAGAACCCCATTCCGGATATGAATTCCTGGGGTATTTATAGGATTCCTTGCCAGTGTGGTTTAATTTAAATTGGCCAGACTAAGAGAGCCTTAAAATTTTGCGTCAAGGAACATGAGGCATATGTTAGAAAAAAATAAAACACAGCGAAGTCTTCTGTTGCCCACATTGTTGGTCAGAAAATCACACTTTCAATTTTTCTGCTGCCAAAATTATTCAAAAAACATCTTCCATTGGAGAACTGGATTTTCTAGAGGCATTTCACATTCATAAAATCTTTCTGTTCTAGTTAACGATCCTAATTCCAATCCAAATTTGCCTTCGGCCTTTAAAGAAATTATGTTTTAGTTCTGGTTTCACCAACAGATGCGCCACTTGCTTATTCTTGTCCAGGCTTTCTTATCTTATCTAATAATTATTTCCTATCTTGTTCATTTGCGGTTTTGCAGCTGAAGATGGTGGTTCGGTAAAACCATCGAAACTAGTCCTGTGAAAATTTTGTAAATATAACGCTGATTTTTGTTGTTTGACTTCTGAATTAGTATTTATTCGGCGTGTTATTATGTCTTAATTAAATAATAACTAACTATTTCATAAATTCATCTTTAGAAAAGGATTTATATTTATGAGTAAAGAGGCTACATAAATTTCAGAATAAGAGAAAAAATGTTGCTTTCAACCCTTCTATAATTTGTTACATTAGAATGGGTACTTCAAGGCCACTTCATTCCCCAAACCATACCTGATAACCATGGGAATGACTGCTGCAGAAAAACAATCGAATCTTCTGATTTGCTATAATCCCACATGGATATGTGTGCTGTGAAGACGACAAACGTTACAGTCATAAATGAGAGAATGGTCGCTAAGACCTTGAAGTGCTATTCTAAAGTAACAGACAAAAGTAAGCAGACTGAGAAAGCTGCCGTAGTATGTACCATATGGATTCCTGTCTTTTTATTTTTGCATCAGTTAATTTACACCTTAAAATTTTCGAGTTAAATTTTATTTTATAGTATCGAACTTACTACATTACTCCATATCGGAAATTTATATTTTCAGCTGTGGATCCAGGAAGTAAAAATTCTGTTTTTTCTGTTACTGTGATATGGTCTTGAGCTTTGATTTAATGGGCATAATTTACATTTTATCCTTAATTCTCAGCAGAATTATGTCCTTGGAGGCAGAATGCAGTTGGGTAATGTCCAAGGAATTTATGCATCTCCTTAGATTGTCTAATCGGAATATGCAAGGATATGTAATATCGGCCACGTATGTCTCTAAATGTGATGTTAGCGTTTAACTTTCCATCGACTTCGATTTTATCACCGGGCACAGTCTGGAGGGTAAACCAGGTCAGCGTTCAGAAGAATTTAGCTTTCAGTTCTTGAGGTCAGCCTTTTCGGGTGATGGTAACACTAGTTCCTGTTAGAAATGTTAAGTGCTTCAAAATGGAGCTTCTGAATATTTTGGAAACTTCGCTCTTCGAGATAGTTTCCTGTTTCCTTGCTGGAGAAAGATTTTAGCTTCCGTGTCTTGGGTGCAATTTCTTCACACAAGATCTTCACCACCGCTGTACCAGCACTTTGGGGCGGATTTTTTACCATTCCCCGCACTCACTCGTATTCCACCGCAAGGCAATTGTGTCCACGGTTAAATCGGCTAGACGAGCAGTCAGTTTTTTCACTAGTTCCTGAACATCAGCAGCTCTGACTGGGTGGTGGACTCAAAGAAGTATTTGCTGCGCTACCTCGAATTTCATGTAAAGCGCCTTTTAAATCCTTTTCATCCGCTATTCGCAGGGCTTTTTATACATCATGATCCTGGATGCCATAGGTGAAGTAAGTATTT